ACTAAAACAGGTGCCAAGAAGAGTTTTTTATTTTAAGAAGAAAATCCTCTAAATAGTAATATTGATAAGAATATATACTGATTAGAATATAAAAATCCTCTATAGAAAAACATGTATATCTCACTATCGAAGAAGACTATATTCTTAAATTAAGAATATATTCTTAAATAAAGATTTAATTTCAGAAGGATATCATCTAAAATCTTTAAGAAGAATTTTTAATTCTAAAATCTTCTACTTACGAGAATATAATTTTTTCGGTGTGTGCAAACTATTTTGTGAAAAAAAAAATCTCCAACATTTTTCATATCTTGCCAACGAGACTAGCTATTTTTTTCTAGCTTTTTTCTTCTATCGATATTTTGGTTTTTAATTAGTTTAAAAACACGCTTACCGAAAGTATTATAGAGAATTTCAGTATAGAAATTAAAACGCGGTAACTGGCCGGTAACCAGTTTTTCTCGAATACGCGCGTTTCTACTAGGCAAACATACCTGAATAAAGTGATAAGAGCTATCTTATCACTTCGGCGATGTAATCAGTATAGAATTGAATATGTGTATTTAGAGAAGAAAAAAAAAAATCGTGATGCAAGTAGGTACTTGTCTCGCGCACCGATACGAAATCGAATTAAAACACCGTGAATTCAAAAATGTTGTAGCTACGAGACTTTACGAGACGCTCGAGAAACAACAACGCTTGAGAATTGTTAATCGCGAATTTGCTTAAGTATGATGAGCTGCAGTGTGATGCATTTCCAATCGCGGACCCAACACATGTCACGCGTACTTATAACATTTAACCCGGGTGATGTCGCATCGCCGTCATCGATCGAAATACACTCGCGGCGCTATGCAGATATCTCGCGTGAGATTTCCACAGCCTTATTTTGCGCCAAAGCGATAAGCCGCGCACACGAAGACGAATATAAAGAAAAAAAAAACTACGACTAGACGCGACGAGCGACTTGTGCAATTCCGCGAGTTTTGCACACGTTATCGATTCGACGCGACGTATATGCACGAATAATAATAACGTTACGTTACATTACGTCATGCGAGTAGAATAACCCTACCGCGACTTCGCGCAAAAAGGATTTAACAATTCGATTGTGTGCAATATATCTAATTTTCAAACGCGTGATTGTGTATACACACTTTTACCTTCGGCTTGTGTCTCTTTTCTTGTGCAACTCTCTCGAAGCCAGTTCCACTAACGCCTACCTATGCGATAAACATGCATCCTGCGCCCAGAAATGCGCGGGTTCGCATTCAATCCGCATTAGTCAGCGTATGCGATTTACGAACATTTAAATAACGTTCAAAGGGCGTTTATTATAAATTTCATATCACACATTGGTTCTCTTACACCGAAAAAATTATATTCTCGTAAGTGGAAGATTTTATACTTAAAAAATCGTCTTAAAGATTTTAGATGATATTCTTCTGAAATGAAGAATATATTCTTTATTTAAGAATATAGTCTTTTTCGATAGTGAGATATATATGTTTTTCTATAGAGGCTTTTTATATTCTAATCAGTATATATTCTTATCAATATTACTATTTAGAGGATTTTNCTCTTAAAATAAGAAACTCTTCTTGGCGCCTAATTTAGTATAAAATATACTTAAAGTAAGTGAGATATCCTCAAAACAAGAATACAATTTTTTCGGTGTATGTATCGCGTATCTCTATCCGGAAATTCAAACTCCGGTCAATACAATAAATTATTTTAAAATTATTTTAATATTTATATTTAAATATTTCGTATTTCCATGTTAAAGCGTGATCATTAAATTATTTATTTTATTGTATTAATATCTTTCTATTGCTCGATGTGACCTTATTTATTTGCTTATTTGTAAAATTATTTTATTTGTGTTTGCGTTTTGCATATATTAATTTTTATCTTTTGACAAAACTGTTTATACGAAACTTTTTTATTTCTATTTTCTGTTAATTTTTCTTCCAACAACAATTATATAGACAAAAAATATAAAATTCATATTTTTTATATTTTATATTTTTATAAACAAAAACGTTTTGATACAGAGAAGTTGCAACAGATATAAAAGTATTTAAAAATCTTGTTTTATTTTCCGAAACTTTTTTTAACTCTTTGAAGCGCAAGATTTTCCAACAAAATTGAAAAACAATAAAAAATGAAAAAAAAAAACAAAACAAAACAAGTGATACGAATAACCGTGCACTTTCAAGCGCTAAAAACGTCAAGGACATTTTTCATACCGTTAAATACGGATTATTCTCAAGCAATAGTATATATATATATATACATGCGTAAACTTTTATTCAAGTTCGAATTCTTTGCGCCAAAAACCAGTCCGGCCAATCCCCGCTTAACGTTGAACGCGGCGCGAATTCGCGATAGCGGTCGAACGTTGACGCGACGACGACCGACCGACCGACCGACCGGCTGTTGTAATAATCAGTCGGCCGGCGTGGCTCAAAGCGATAGGAGGATTTTTCGCATCGCTCGACTTTTACGTATATACGAGTGCGATGCCGCACGTTGAACTTTGATTCACGTTGCCATACGAATCGAGGGGCGAGTGTGATCAGTTTTGTGAAAGTGTATCACATGCCTCATCGACTCTCGTGTTCCACGAGATCGTAACAATTGGATAGCTTCGACACATCGTCACATATATACGACGAGAGAGAAAGAGAGAGAGAAAGAAAGAGAGAGAGAGAAGAGCAGCTACTTCTTTATACGCTCACTTACGTAAGTACAATGACTTGAGACGATCTTTCGCGCAGGTACCGTACGTCGGGATGCAAATTTTCTATTCGTCCACTATCTATGTCTTCGACGTCGGTGCTTTTCAACGTGAACCCGTACGTCGCGTCTCTCTTTGCAGTCTTATTGCTATTATATACCCGAGGTGCGCGACTCGCGCACTTACGTAAGCCCAGCGAGTTTGTTGCGAGACTGATTTTTTTTTTTTAAGATAATAAATATTAATAACATTTTCGAATCTCTTTCCGAAAGAACACGCACGAAGATGTACACGTGTTAATCGTCGCGATCCGATATTATTAACAAAATCCGCGCTCGCGATAACGCGCGTAAAAAAGTCGCTCGAAATTCGCGACGACGAAGAGCCGTGTGTAATCGTTGCAAGTCACCGTTATCGTGTCATGCCTAAGAATTACCGAGTGAGATAATATACACGCGACTTTGCGGCTCGATATATACGAGGTTGATATATGAGCCGCGGAATCGCGATCGTCTCATCTCGCTCCCGTAATTACCGCGTGCTAAATTTGAGACGCCGTGGTATAGTTTCGTCGAAAGCGCTCGAACCGCGGAACCTTGGCCTGTCTTCTTCTTTGTAATAAAGTCATTAATGATCCATATGCCGCAAATAAAACTGTGCACACGCGACGGAATCTATTACATCGCGGGCGGCGAAGTGACTTTCGAACGATTTTTCGATCGCGACGATTCCCGCGCCGAGAGATTCGCTTTTGAAAGAGAGAGATTCTATTTTCGGAAGGGAAGCTTTTCGCGCGAGCAGGCTTCTTTAATAAAAAACCTACTTGAAGCAATGGTTCTTCGTCAACTTATTACATCGAAAATTTTGCATTGATGATTTTTGACGAGGTCGAATTTTTATTAGCTTTGATTTTTAAGAACGAGAACGAAGGGTCAACTGATCGATACATTTGTCCTAATGACGGGTAGACACGAAAACGCTCGTTCAACTTCGTTAACGTTATGTACGCCTTTACATTTTTTGCGACGATCTTAAGATCCGCACGATTCGTTTTGTTTTTTTTTCGGTTTTTGAGATATATATATTTTTTTTTATTATACATATTCGTTGGAAAACGCGCACAGAAAATTATCGAGACATGAGAAAAATAAAAATGTTTATTGCGCCACGTTATCGTACGCCTTTACATTTTTGCGACGATCTTAAGATCCGCACGATTCGTTGTTTTTTTTCGGTTTTTGAGATATATATTTTTTTAAATATTTTTTACATATTTGTTGGAAACGCGCACAGAAAATTATCGAGACATGTGAGAAAAATAAAAAATGTTTATTGCGCCACGTTATCGTTCAAAGATTGCGTTTATCTACTTTGCGGTGAAAGAATTTATTTTAAAACGTTTACTTCACCGTTCGAGACATATAAAAAACATTATCGAGAATCATGTTGATTTTGTGAAAAATTGCAGTCGAATCGATTGTTCGTTTTTGAGAAAATTTCAATCGCGGTCAAAGTATCCTGGTTCTATTCTCAGATTTATGAAAGCTTTGTGTTAGCGGTATATTCAAAACTGAGTCAATCTTTTTGAATGCATTAAATGACTTAATTTTGAGAAACAAAGGTAAAATCACATCTCTCTCTCTCTCTCTCTCTCTCTAGATAAGAGAAGAGCCTGGATAATAATCATCGCGTGGCGTTTGCATGATATAATTCTGTTAAATTTTCTGAGATCCAAAAATATCACCGATGAAATAGAAACGGCCTGCGATTCTGGGTCGTAGCCAGAAAATCGCTCTTTTCATACGAGGCGTGATGATCACACTTTCTTACTTTAAACAAAGACTTTTCACATGTTTTCTTGAGTTTCTCAGTCGACTTTCGACTTTGTTTTCCGCGCGCACTCTCTCTCTCACACATACACACACACACACCGAAACGTTGATGATTCTCGAACAAAACTGTTCGGTTTAATCATCGTGCTAATTTCTTTCACGGATATAATTTTATCTCAAATTATTCACGTAAGCAACAATGTCGTTATTACTTCGCAAAAACATTGAATATATTTGTGTTGTATATGAGTGAGTTTTTTTTTAAATAATAAATTTAAAAAATTATTAAATCTTCTTGAAAAAACTTTCATAAACTATAAAACATTGAATTTAATTGTTTAAAAGTATTTCTGCACCAAAAACCAAAGGTTATTCCTCGAATTATCTATCTCGCGATAACATTTGTAATTACTAGTTTGTAATTACTAATTTTATAATTATATAATTTAGTATTTATATATAATTTATTATATATTTATATATATTTATTTATGTAATTTTTTTCACAATTGCTTCGACCGAGTAGCAGTATTTTATCAATCACAATTCTTGTGAATTATATAAACATTTTTTTTCTATTGAACGATAAGAAAATTCGACGACGAAACTTTTACGTCTCGAGAGAAAATTAAAGTGCTTTGACAACGAAAGGAAAATTCCAAGATATAAGTATTTGTTCCGTTGTATTAGTTTCATTACGCGACGTTTAATCGGTCATCATCTCAAACGTCGATGATGTCGCCAATGATCGAATAGAAATAAGATAAGTTGCATTTGCCGCGTGTCATCGGGTTCAGTCGCACGAGGCAATGAATCATCGGACCAGACTTAGAACTTCGCGTGGCAGCTTTATTACAGCTGGTAATTAACGGAACGCCAATCTCGTAATGATCGTTTCCAAGCTGGAACGATGATCCACCGTACACAAAGCTCTCGATGCAAAATCGTTACTAACGTTAAAAGAATATTTTGTTGAAAGATATATGATATATCAAGTGTTTGTTTAGAGGATTGTCCTCGAGTTCTTAAATGGTTAATCCTATATGTAAAATGATACGGTCAGAAAGAACCAAGTTGCGGGATGTGATGCATAGAAATAGAGAGATGTGTGTATGCTAAACGTTAGTCTAGCTACATAAAATAATATACGAAAACATCTCTTTTTTCCTCCATTTTATATCAAAAACAGCTTTCAGTTATATAATCGTTGTTATATCGGGAATTCTCAATTGATAATAGACTTCAGTTTACACTTGAAATGGAATTGGATGGGACACTCTTAACTTGCTAGATTTACTAATCATCCGCGACAACATTAACTTGGTTCGTGACTGGTGCCACAAACCAACATATTCCGAAAGATACTTGCACTTTTTTTATCTCAAAATCCCTTGTGCCGTAAAATCGGCACCATATTTTCCTTAATCGATAGAGCAGTTCTTCTATCCAATCCAATTTTTCATAAAAAAAAAAAATATAAAACTCTGAATTGACATACTGCATTAACGATGGTTATCCGACTCGGTTAATTTTCAACACCATGAATAAAAGATTGAGAAAATTTATTTTTATACAAAACTTAACAAACACAATCGTAATAATTCTTCACGCAACACAATCAATAATTCACAAAACGTTGACACACTTTGTCATCCCATTTGCGTTTACATTCACTGAACATATTAACAATTACATTCACAATACCTTAAATACCAGACTACTCTCCTACAGAAATCTCAATTCTTTCAATAAATTATATCAAAACACACAAAGATGAGATTCCTTTGAATGAACATAAAAATATTGTATACCGCATCTCATGTAACTCTTCACCGAAAAAATTGTATTCTTGTTTTGAGGAGAGAGAGAGAGAGATATCCCACTTACTTTAAGTATATTTTATACTAAAATAGGTGCCAAGAAGAGTTTCTTATTTTAAGAGGAAAATCCTCTAAATAGTAATATTGATAAGAATATATACTGATTAGAATATAAAAAGCCTCTATAGAAAAACATATATATCTCACTATCGAAAAAGACTACACCGAAAAAATTGTATTCTTGTTTTGAGGATATCCCACTTACTTTAAGTATATTTTATACTAAAATAGGCGCCAAGAAGAGTTTCTTATTTTAAGAGNAAAATCCTCTAAATAGTAATATTGATAAGAATATATACTGATTAGAATATAAAAAGCCTCTATAGAAAAACATATATATATCACTATCGAAAAAGACTATATTCTTAAATAAAGAATATATTCTTAATTTTGGAAGAATATCATCTAAAATCTTTAAGAAGATTTTTTAAGTATCAAATCTTCTACTTACAAGAATATAATTTTTTCGGTGTATATTCTTAAATTAAGAATATATTCTTAAATAAAGAATATATTCTTAATTTCAGAAGAATATCATCTAAAATCTTTAAGAAGATTTTTTAAGTATAAAATCTTCTACTTGCGAGAATATAATTTTTTCGGTGTACGTATTTGTATAGTATTAACTACCGAAGATGTGACTCAATAAAAGAAGTCGAAACGTTTAGCACATACACACATCTCCTATTTCTATATATTACATTCTGCAACTTAATTCTTTCTGACCGTATCATTTTACATATAGAATATATGATATATATCTCGGAGTACACAGAGTTTTCTTATCTGTTTATTTAATGACGGACGCGATTCTGAAGCAGGCACAGGGAGATACCCCTTTTTCTGCAGCTTTCTTATCAAAATCCGCTATATCGCTTCCGCGTCATTGCGTGCTTCGATTATACGGAGTGCGAGTAAGGTTGTGATTCGTCCTCTCTTCCCCAGACGTCTTTTTTTTTTTTTTTTTTTTTTAGAGTGTCGGGAATGTCCAGGCGGATTTTCTGTTCCGCGTCCGCGGTGATTATGATCGTTCAGTGTTTTAGAGAATCTTCTAAATATTTTACTTTTTAAACTAATGAATGAAATAAATTGGGTTGTAAGAGCCGTTTTGCAGGATGTTGTGCAGAGAATGTGCTTAAATATAGTATATATATATATATAAATTTATTTCATTCATTAGTTTAAAGACTCCTGAGCCCGAAGAATCTTCTTCTTGTTATTATTAATTTTACTTTTTATTTCTTCCGCGTTAGCCTGAGATAGGGTATAGCTATCAGTTTTCTTTTTTGCCGG